CGAGCTCGATGGGCCGAATGGCCTCCTCTCGTTTGTATAGTTCTTATGTTCTTATGTATTTGATCTTTTTCCTGGCAGCTGTCTTTTTACACAGGGCCACTATACACAATAGTATATTTTTTTTCCACTGCTAACAGTTTAGATCAGGAGTTGGTTACTGTGAAAGAAGGAATGTGCATGCAGGTGATATTTGCATAGATTTATGTATACCCTTGGCAGTGCTGCCATAGCAGTTAGGTCTCGCAGACTACGAGGAGTAGAAGTTGTCTGACTTGGCTTCAGTCAGTTTATACTCCACCCCTGCAGCCGCAGGCAGATCGTGCTCCACGTCCCGTCAGCTGCAGACAGACCTAAGCCCAAGTCGAACGCACCCTATGACTGTACTCAACTGGTTGGTTGAAAATCTTGGTCTGGATATTCACTTTCTGGACCTGAACTATCCACCTCTGCACACATCCTGTTAAGTAAAATGTTCAGTCCATGTCAAACCAGCACTGCTAAAAGGCAGTTTGGGGTCAGATGGGTTGTGCAGCCATTTAAGGATGTAGCTACATTGCAGGGATCGATACATTACTCACAACTGTAGCTCGCTTCTATGCTACATAAAAACTGATTAGTTTTTGTCCAGAGCTGTTTGTATGCAAATTAACAATCAGTTCTTCACATGGAGCACTACATTAATACACTGTAAAAAAAAAAACCCTGACTACATATTGCAGCCATCTTTATCTGTACTAATCAATATACTAAACTCTGCTCCCCCATTCCAGCACAGTGTGGGGCCTGCTTGCAGAGAAAAGACCAAGTTGAATGTCCTGCTGTAGTCTGTCCAGTCCTCCGCTTTCATCTCTGTTTGAAGTGCTTAGAAGTTTGGCGTGATAGCTGGACGTTTAGGTCGGGTGCCCTGACATAAAGCATGCCGGGGTTCCGTTGTTAAACATGGACATGAGATGCTCTTCATCCATTGAGCTCATGCCAGCCAGGTCATCCTGGGGCCCTGAAAGGCTGACTGTGGCCGAGGGGCCATCCATCATACCCTCGTTCTCCAGGAGAGTGACTATGCTGCTAGGGTAGTTCATCCAAGTGCTTCTGCAGCTACTGTGGTTAGCCAAAGAGTCAGTGGCACTGGAGCTGGTTCTTGGGGGTGTCATGTTGGTCACCATGCAGGAACCTACCACATCCCCTGCCTGTCCACTCTGACTCAGCATGGCCTGGAAGTCCTCCGTGTTGATGCTGTCCAGTGTGCTAGACACCTGGCCATCAGTAAGGCTGGGAAATTCAGGTAGGTCCTCTTCTGGGCACAGCTGTGAATCTGCCCTAAACTGCGGGGCCAGCATGCCGAAGGAGGTGGTGGGTTCTGTCGGAGCTGCCACTCCCCATACCCTTGATCCACTCAAGCTGTCTACACCCCTGGTCACAGAAGCAGTGGTACGCGCCGACTCCTGGCTATTGGAGAAGCCAGTGAAGCTGAACTCATAGAGGTCGGTAAGGTTCACAGTGTGGTACTTCTGGGTGGGTGCAGAAGCAGGGTCTGTAGTTGGGGCAGGGGAGGAGAAGCTGGACACTGAGGCAGCCTTGTTTTGAGATGCCAAGGGAAGATTGTTCTGGAATTGCCAGGATTCAGTGGAGGGTGTGGCCTCAGCTTTGGGTTGAGCAGAGAACAGATGCCCTGGCTGGGAGCTGAACAGTGTTTGTGCTTGGGCCTGGACCTGCACTTGAACTGGGACATTAGGAACCACTGGATTTACTGTGGAAGACAAAACAATTACACACTTTTGTTGGGGCATCTAAATATAAAAGCAATGCAACAGTAATACAATCTTCAGTCAATTAAATTAAACTGCTTTAACATATAAAAAATAATTTGAATTCAAAATTTAAAACCTAAAAATCTGTTTACATACACAAAAGCCTGTTTGACAGAGGAGAGAAAGGACAATCTCTATTGTTCTCTTAATGATGCTATATCACAACACACCCATGTAAAGCGCCTGGGTGATTTGTAAAAGGCGCTATGTAAAAATGAATTGAATTGAATAATAAAAAGGTCTTCTGTATTTACTGAATCATAAATCAGGAAAATAGCTTTCTAAGGAAATACTATGTGAGTAGTTATCACAGCAGTTTTTATACAGCGCAAAGGTATATTATAACATGAATATTCATGTTTAATAGAAAAAGAAAGTCCGGGACATTTGGAACAATGCGCTTTGGACAGATGAACCTGAAATTGATTTATTTGGACATAGTAACAGAGTTTGGCGTAAACCAAAGACATATTTTGAGCAAAAGAACCTCATGCCAGCTGTGAAGCATGGGGGTGGAAATGTCATGGTTTGGGGCTGCTTTGCTGCAGCAGAACCTGGCCAGCTCACCATCATAGAATCTACTATGAATTCTTCATCATATCAGAGGGTGCTTCAGGACAATGTGAGATCATCTGTCCAAAAGTTGAAGCTGAAGTTGGGGTGGATCATGCAAATGACAATGACTCAAAACATTCCAGTAAATCTACCAAGGAATGGCTTACAAGAAAGAGTTCTGGAATAGTCAAGTCAAAGCCCGGATCTGAATTCTATTGAGATGCTGTGTGGTGATTTGAAGAGGAAGTGTATGCAAGGCACCCTTCAAACATCACACAGCTTAAGGAATTCTGCATTGGAGTGGGGGGAAAACTTTCTGCCAGTTGATGTCAGGGATTGACAGATAGTTATAAGAAACGTCTCATTGAAGTTATTTCAGCCAAAGGGGGAAATACTAGCTATTAGGGCACAGGGTGTCCTAACTTTTTCCTCAGTAGGCATTGGCATCTTAGTTAAATTCTTTTGTGAAACAAGTGAATCTGTTTCTTGTTTTTTCAAATCGGTCATGCAATTAAATCACCTTTATCTACAAATATAATTTGAAACAAGATTTAATATTGATATGTTGATATTTCTTAATCAAGTACTAAATATTTAATGGGTGTCCTAATTTTTTTACATAACTGTATGTGACCAATCCACATCCGACACTTACTTGTTTAGTAGTTGAGGAGTATAAGAACATCTAATAAGAGAGTGACGATCTGAACATATTTTACACTTGAAACACCTAATAGCACAGCAATTTGCAATCTTTGTAAAAACAATGTTTTAAGAGGGGGGGAGTAGCATTTAGTGGAAAATCCCTCTAAACAAAGCGCACACAATTGTGTGAGACAACGCAAGTAATATGAAAATAGCAATGGATGATATGGGAGTCACTAGCTTGGGTTATTTTGTGCTCTCGCTGCAGCTTGTGACACACGAGGGGCTGCTATTCTAATGCAGTGTAAGTGATGTTGTTGCCATCTATCCATCCATTTTCTGTAACCCTGTTCAGGGTCGCGGAGGGTCTGGAGCCTATCCCGGAGGCAATGGGTGCAAGGCAGGGAACAACCCAAGATGGGGTGCCAACCCATCACAAGACTCACACACCCTTCACTCACACACCCTTCACATTTCCAGTTTCTTGGACTATGAGAGTACCTGGAGGAAATGCCACGACGACAGCAGGAGAACATGCAAATCGCAGGGCATTCGCCACTTGCATATACTTGCTTGGAAGATACTGAAATTGAACTACAAATGCTTCAAAAAATGCTTAAATCTGTTCCACCTCGTTTGTATGTTATGCATTTTTTGAGTAGCCCAATCAACAAAGCTTTTTTTGGCATACTTTTTTTTCCATTTTTATTTACTAGTTTAAAAAGAGGTCAGGTATCGGATTAGTACTTATATCAGCTGATACCCTCTGTTCAAGTATCGGATTAGTACTTATATCAGCTGATACCCTCTGTTCAGGTATCGGGCTTGTATTGGTACTGAATAAGTGGCACTGGTGCACCTCTAAAAATACAGTGGTACCTCAGAACTCGAATTTAATTCGTTCAGAACTCCGGATCGAATCCTAAAAAGTTTGAGTTGTGATCAAATTTTCCGCATAAGAAATAATGGAAAACCAATTAATTGGTTCCCGGCCCCAAAAAATCACATCTAAATATGTTTATTTTTTAGCATTTAAAAACAAAATGAACTGGATAAAACAAGAAGAGCATATACTGTACTAAACACATCTAAGCACATTTATCAAAACAGTAATTTGTAAAGTAAGGAAATAAATGTATCCAAACAATGTGTAAAGTAAAAAAAAACAAAACAATGTGTCCTGCCCCGATCGCCTGCTCCTTCCGTGTGCCACGCCCCCTCGTTAAGTAAGTAAGTTTATTTATATAGCGCCTTTCACAGACAAAAAGTCACAAAGCGCTTCACATACAATATAATATACGATTTCACATAGTTTGACATTATGACACACAAGTAAGAACATACATACACAGCACGGACGGTAAAAGCTCAAGTATAAGAAAAGAAAAAAAAAAACCCTAACTATCCTCAGCACACCTCAAATGCTTGCCTAAAAAAAAATGTCTTTAATTGATTTTTAAATGCTTCAGCTGACTCAGCAGCACACAATGCTGATGGAAGGCTATTCCAAAGTCTAGGCGCCACTGCATGAAAAGCACAGTTAACCCCGTGTGGAATCCCCGTGTGATCAGCTGTTTTCATTAGCCCTCTGTATTTCGTCCGCATTTCAGTTTGTTTCCCCAGTCCGGTCATTGTATTGTCCGTCTGCGTTTTGCCTGCCTTACTTGTAATTAAACCCCATATTCCCCGATACCCTGACGTCTGTGCCTTTGTCTCCGTCCCCGCTCGGCACGACAATATTATTATAATTAAAGGTATTAATGGTTATTATTAATATTAAAATAATCAATAAGAAATCTTTATTTTTAAATGTATTTTATTATATAATAATAATTACTGTTACTGTCTATCATTGTCTAAATGTATTTTTACTGTCTAAATATATGTATTCAGCTAGTGTAAACATGCACGGTGCTATCACAGCGAATGCGAGGCTTAGACTGAAGCATTAGCCTATGTTTCCGCTGAGAGACGTGGCGCGTGACTAATTTCCCCGCGTGTACAAGTTATCTTAGGTTGGAATTATCTTAGGTTAGATTCAGAGTGAGTTCTAGGTAATTTTTTTTCAAATAGGTTTGTTCGACTTTTAAGAAATTTGAGTTATAATGAGTTCGAGAACTGAGGTACCACTGTAATATGTTTGAACCTTTTGGCCCTAATCAACATAAGCAGTTAGAAGATGAAGTGATCAGGTAAGTTATTATGACTAGTTACATAGTATTCATACTAGCAAATTCCAGGAAACTGCCATGGCAAATTCTGACAGACATACATTCCACATTCAATATCTGGCACTTAAGGTGTAAGGAAGGGCTCATGTACTGTTAGGTTTTGGCCAATACAATCATTCTGCTCATTCTGGTCTTGCACTACATTTTATAGGCACTCATGAGCCTTTCTAGGCTTGGCATTTATGTACTATTTAGGTGCTGCAGGGTGACGGAGTTATGGAGGAGGGCACGGTACCTGGCTGCCCCCTGGAGGACAGATGTGGCTTGGACGTCACTGTTCTTCTGGCAATGTTGATGGCCCTCCTTTCTCCGGCAGTGGGTCCTACCGGCCACACATATTAAGATGAGTCATGTGACTGCAGCTACCCTGCTGCCAGCATTCATCATACGCTACCTGCTTGGAAATGACTGTCACTGCCCGTTCACATACAAGATAACTACCAAATTTTATATGTTAATGTAAAAATATTTTAATATATGACATTCTTAAATATTTCGTAAATTTCGTAAAGTACCTCAGCTTTTTAAATGGCACATTCTACACAATGTATACATACAGTACACTAATACACTACATTAGTTGCATTTTAATATAGCATTAGAATAATACAGGTTATTTTAAAGGGAATTACGCACCAGACACAACGTTGCCCAACTTCAAATTCTGAAACATTCCTTCCGTGCGTTTTCTTTTCTCCATCACCCTGTACTCATCTGCATGAAACATAAAATATCACTACATCAGTCAAGATTTCGATGTCTATACAGTGAGATGTTCTTTATAATGTCAAACTGTGTGTCCGTTATGGATGTCCTCTGTGAGTGTCCTCTGTGAGTGTCCTCTGTGAGTGTCCTCTGTGAGTGTCCTCTGTGAGTGTCGGCGACCATCACCTGGCTCCACAGGCAGGTACTGGAAGTCCATAGGCTCGCTGACCTCACGGTCAGAGGGGCGCCGCAGCTGGATCTGGACCCGCACAGGCTCGGCCAGATTGGGGTTGCTGTAGGGAGGGGTACGGAAGACGATGGCCACCTGCCGGTGAACATCGGCCTGAGAGAAAGAGCCCTTGTCCTCCCAGGAGTCTTTGAAGAATCGCACTTCAATGTCCTCTGGGGGGTGAAAGTTTAGCTGGACTTAGGAAGGTGGTGGAGCTGGGGCCCATACAACATTTCAGAGCATTTCCAGTCATACTGCTGACATGACTTTACTGCAGGACACAACTTGACAGAGATCAAGAACTTACATCCTAAAAACCCATCTTATAAATTTTATGGTGACTTAGTCCTTAATACAATATTTGTTTTAGCTATTGACATAAATGACTGATTAATTAGTAATTCTATCTAGTTTCATTGACGTGAATTCATTGTCGTGTTACTTGAATTTTGTCATACATTTTATTAAATATTTGAATCACATCTGATTTCTTAAGTGCTCAGCTGTACTTTTTGACCAATATCTGCATTTCAAAATTGAAAACACCAGCTGCTGTGCATAGATAAGTCTTGCTACTGATGAGCCAGTTAGTTAGTTAATTACATCATACTACAAATTACATACTGTGTATCTGATGAGGACCCAGAAAAGATCTGGGGTGCAGTCTTCAAATGGGGCATGAATTTAACAACTTATGCATTTCAGTTTTTAACAATAATACATAACAAAAGGTGATACACAGACAGACCTTTCTGAACTTTATCACAAAGTAGGAAGACTTCATCCCCGCCTCGACAGTTCCCAGCATTCCTGTCAATTCGGCAAATCTTCAGCTCTGCTGTGTTAGGGGCTCCTAAGAGGAGGGAGGATCAAAAAAGCGAAGAAAAAAAATCTTTTCTTGTCCACCTTTCCAGCTAGACACTGTCAGTGTCAGACTGCTTGTGACAGTCATTAGACTTGTGTAAACCAGCAATGTAGCTCATCTTGTTTCAAGACAAAAAAAAACACTTTACAATCGCACACTTTTTTGGCAAGCGCTCTTTCGTGACGTTATGCTCAGCGTGTGTGAATGCGAAAGCAAACTTTTCACTTGCACCAAGTGGTTTGCCACTTGCCGTGTGGACACATTCGTGCGCGAAGAAGTTTCCAGAAGTTTTCAGCACAAGTACCTTGCACTTACTTTTTCGATTCAACTCATCCCAAACCAGGACTATAGGGTTTAGGTTGGGGGATTGTGAGGGCCAAGTTTCAGTGCCCCTCCTGAGTAGGGTCCCTGAGATTAACTTTTTCGTTTTTTAATATGCACATTTGTATATTTATGCTAAAGGTAAATGTCATAACTGTGAAATGTTTGCTGTGGAAGGTGTATATTCCAGTAGCATGTAACCATGAGTATCGTGTAAATTGTTGGCTTGTTGGTAAATTGTTGACTGTCGCTGCTAGTTTTAAACCAATAGCGGCTGTTAATAAATAGATCGTCTTTCATTTTAAAAGAGCTGTCATCTCCTTCATTAAATTAACTTTGCTGCAATACATGTCTGGCACTTTATGAGGGTCTGAGGCATCAAAAACATTCTGCGCTCCCTGCCGTTGTGGACCTTATAATATAGATTATCTAGACTAGTGTAGACTACCATCTCTCCTTCTCCCCCCAGATAATACATTTGTTTATTGAAATGTTTCCCATTAAATCTACTTATTGTGAGGGGTTTGCAGAGCCATATTTGGCAGCCGATGTTTGGTCTGCCGAGTGTCACCCTATTTACATTGCAATCAACCCCCACAGCCCCCCATGTACGTGGTGGGCCCACAGGAGGGCGGACCCATGTAAATCTTTTGATTTCTTCCTGGTTGGGCCCTATGGGAAGAGGTCTGGCCACCAGGCACATGTCGACAATCTCCCCTCCCAGACTTGGCTCAAGAGCAGGGCCCCAGTATCCCCAATTCGGGTGGGGTCACATGATCCTTTCTGTTAATCTTCACAGGGATCTACGACAACTGCATATTGTTTGACTGCTCACCTAGGACCAATTTGCTTTGGAAGACCCTACCAGGGCCAACTGCCCCGAACAACAAAGCTCCTACGATCATAGAAGCATAGAAACCCCTCCATTAAGATAAGGTGGCAATTCACAAAGCATTTATAACTCTCACAAGGATACCGGTTCTTGGGAGTTTGCACAGCCAGTCTACATGTGTTTTGTGGACTTGGAAAAGGCATACGGCTGCTTCACTCAGGTCCGGTGAAGGATGTGGAAGGAGTATGAGGAGGGGTCACATGTACTGTACAACATAGGTTATAACAATCACACACATTTAACTAACTGTCTATAGTGGCAGAGCAATATACTTTGTTTTAGTTCTTGCCACATGCTGCACACATGGTAAAATATCCACTTGTCCCTCAATAAATTTTAATATTAACGAGAAAGTGTCTGCGGCAGCATACTGGTCCCAAAACCATACGTATTCTATCCAGGGAATACAGTGATGAAAACAATTATATTTTTTGTGTTTACCTGTTTGGTCATCATGGGATGACCCTACCCTGTACCGCGTTTGAATGAGTGACGCTGTGTGTCAGTCTGTCAGCGGTGACAGTCCAGTTACCGTGTGACAAAAACTCACTGTTGTCATAGATGGGCTGCGACACCACAGGCTGCAGTGAGTACAGCTGGCTGTTCGGCAGAGTGATGGAGGCCTGGAAGCAGAGCCGTACTGCGTTCAGGTCAAACTCTTCCGCCCACACCTCCGCCTCCGGTACTGAAACACAGCACAAACACACCCCCGCCATCTGTCTTCATCTGTGGAAGAACAGCAGAGCGCAGTAGGAATGTATTTGTGGAATAGTATGTTCCTGAAAGCATGTACTAACTTTTAAAAGGGTTGTTCTGTGTCTGGAGCCTGCAGGAAATGGCATCATTCACGTCTTTCTTCTTCACACACTGTATTCCCAGGTTCTGAAAACTGAAATTAAAAAATGAACCACCAAGGGACTCTTCATTGAAAATAAAGTTCAGTACATTAGGTGCTCTGCTCAAGTCTTAAGTCTGACATTTATTTAAGTGTTGATTGTCAAACAAAGCAAGTATATTTGTTTTGGCCCAAATATTAGATGACCCGATTATAATCCACTCCATATCTATATATGGGTCCTGGGTCCTTTCTGTGTAGAATCTGCACTCTCTCCCCATGTTCGCGTGGGTTTTCGCTGGGGGCTCTGGTTTCCTCCCACCGTCCAAAATCATGCGGGATAGGTTGATTGGTGGTTCTAAATTGGCCCTGTAGTTATGTGTGTGTGTGTGTGTGTGTGTGTGAGCCCTGCAGTGTACACACACACACACACACACACACACACACACATATATACATACATATTTTAGAAGAACAATAAGAAGTTAACCATGTCATTGAGAAAAAGCAACCACAGGTAATTTAATTACGATAAGTGTGTTACACAGCAAACATTCCAAAAAACAAATGAATTGTTTAGGGAGGGAGAATAGATAGTCAATATTATAAACTCCACAAGCCTAAATATTGTGGTGAGTGGTTGAGTCATTTTAATAAAGGAGATGACAGCTCTTTTAAAACGGAAGTTACTTTATTAAAAGCTAATATTGGTTGAATCCTAACAGAGGCACAGACAAGAAATGTTATACAGTTATGACATTTACAATTAAAATAAATACATGAATACACCTAACAACTAATACACAATTAATTGACACTATTTAAAGATATGCATGGTGTGGTGCAAAGCATGTAGGAACTGCATAATTAGTCCTGCTAACCAACCCTGCAGCGTCACATTTATGTCAGCCAATCGTGGACAGTGGGTGGGATCAGAACAAATGAAAAGATTCACATTGAGGACCCTTCGCAGGTGGAGCACGGAGCATGACGCCACTCAAATGACATTATATTGCTAAAACTGCATTGATTCTGACGATTACATTTGAAGTGTACGGCAAAGAGGCAGATCATTTACACCATGTACTGTTGCATGTGTATAATGATATTTTAATTCTAAATTAATAGACTACCCCAGTTTTTTTTTTTTTTTTTTAAGAAAAACACTCTTGTATTCTAGCCAAAACGGTACTCTCAGAATCAAATCCTGAATATTAACCTTATCACACATACACTCCAAGCACACCTCCTCACACAACATACACACCAAGTACCTGTGCACACGTCTGTCCTGCAGTGTGGCCTCATAGAAGCCATGTTTGCAGTCCTTGCCAACCAGCTCATGGGGGTGTGGCTTGTAGGGGTGGTTCTTAGTTACCAAGGAGATTCTCACATGGACAGGACCAGTGTAGTTATGCACCTGCAACAGTAAAACAAAGAAATGATACCTGTAGTTCTACGGCTCACTCTGGCCATACAGACTGATGCCACAGTATGGTTTAGTGCAAGGGTGGCCAATCTTAACCACAAAGGGCTGGTGTGTCTGCAGGTTTTTGGGATAACCTTTAGGTCAGCTGTTTGAACCCAGGGGTGAAGACTCTTCAGCCAGTCAGTCCTCTAATTAGTAATCTAATTAGGAAATTGCAGTGAAAACCTGCATGCACAACGATCAGAGCATAAAGGCCAGTGCCAGTGCCTGGTAGCCGTAGCCTGGACAGGAAGAGACTCAATCACTCACTCACTCCTCACGCAATGACATACTTGTGGTCTTGGAAAGACTGGTCTTGCTAACTTGCCTTCCAAGAACAAACTTAGGGCACAAAGAATCAAAGAATAGGTCTCATTCAGTGTGGATGCAATCCTTGATATTTGGAGCAGAGCAAGACCAACATCCGGGGATTTTTACCATCCTCTGTACTTGTGTTCTTAGTATTCAAACTGGTCTTCGGCAATAGAAGATGACATAAAACGGGTACACAAGAACACAAGTACTGTAAAGTACACATACTGAGACTCACTCCATGTTTCTGCACAGAATTTTTGTGCAGTCTATTAATTTAAATTAACCCTTTCAACCCTTTCTGCATATTACCTTTTTTCATCAACTAAGATAAATAATACTTTAGCTTGAATAACATCGCTCTGTGGACATCAGTTTTGTTTGTGGATGGTAAGTGTCAGCCACCAAATTGGTTATAAATTGGAAAGAAAGAAAGTACCACTACAATTGGTAACAAAACATTCGGTACTCATAGTTGATGTGTTGAATACAGAACAAATGGGCAGAAGTAAAGATCTGAGTGACTTTGACAAGGGCTCCATCATTATGGCCAGATGACTTGATCAGAGCATCTCCAAAATGGCTAGACTTGCGGGCGCTCATGGTCAGTTTCAGTGACATGATTGATTGATGGTCTGATTACGCCCTTGTCAAAGTCACTCAGATCTTTATCTCCATTTCTTCTGCATTTAACATCTTGACTACGAGTACCGAATGTCACGTTACTGTCTAATATATCCCAGATCTTGGCATGCACCGTTTTTACATTATTCGCTTCACATGGGGGTGGTCGTAATGCTTTGGCTAATCAGCATATATATTATAAACTTAATATATTATAAATATATTATGTTATATTTATATATTAGGACTGCTTGTTTATGACAAAAATCAATCACAATTATTTTAGTTAATATTGAGATCATGATTATTTAACATGATTACACACTGACTTTGGAAATATCAGGCATTTATTGAACGTTTTTAAAAACTTGTCTTTATAACAGTGGATTTCTTTGATCTCTAAAGAGACAAATAAAAAGGGCTCCGTATTTATAACACAAGACGAAACTGCATCACTGCAAGACGAAATGCGGCAGAATAATCGTTTTACCTTGATTATTTTGTTCTGACAATCAGCCAAAATCCTAATTGAAATTGTAATTAAAATTTGATTAATTGCCCAGCTCTATTTTATATGTTTATATATATTTTACAAACATTTATATATATATATACACACACACACACACACACACACACACCAATAATACGGGAAAGGCATATTGTTCAAGGTGTACCCCAATGCTGCCGGGAATATGCACCAGGTCCCCCCACAACCCTGACCAGCATAGCTTATTAATGAATGAATGATTGGATAGACACAACCACACATATAATGCAAAATGTATGCCCTTCAGAAAATGATAAAGAAATGTTAAAGAAATGGGTATGAATAGTTAGTCATTGTTCTGTAGCATAATGTATTCCAAAAACAAGGCTAAAAAGATGAAGCCAAGTTACTTTCAATGTGTCCCATGAACACTTTAGCTTTTAAATTTTATGCAGTTTGACTACTGTTAAAACTAAACACTTAATTCCTGTAATATCAAGTACATAACCAAAAACTAGATTTCCAGGAAGACAAGCAATGTCAACATAAAATACAATATCGTAATATAACAATATAAACCCAGGAATCAAATACATAATTAAAAACAAACATGACATACAGGATGAAAGTGTTCATGGTCATGTGAGTTTTCTATTTAATTAAGCCCTCAAAAAACACTGGTTTTATACAGTGTGAAACACCACATGTGGACAACACTCTTAATTAGAGGTGTTGGCTAATTGAGCCCCAGCTGTTGCTGACATAGGTGTATAATTAAGTACACAGCCATGTAATCTCCGGCAACAATCATTGGCATCAGAATGGGTGCAGAAGAGGTTAAGAACTTTCACAAGGCTCTCACACATCCTGGAAAACCGGAAAAACTGGAATTTGTAACAAATCATTTTCCAGTAATGGAAAATGAACAGACTGTCGACATGTCCTAGAAAATAAATGGGATGTCCTGAATTTTTACATGCACGATAAAATTATAACCTAGTCATATTCTGAATTTGCAGGCTTTTATAAAAGTTGACTATTATATTTGCTTTTCAGTAGGCTAATACCAAATCCAAATCCCACTTTTAGTAGCAATAAAATTCAATAAAATCTTTTGTGGAGGAAAAAAAACTTTAGGCATAAATTATGCATTTTGCCGTTTAGCTAAATCATAACTACTAAGCGGGAAAACCTATTGAACATCCAAGATGTTATCTTATGGACATATACAAGACGGACACCATTCTTGAGAAGCTTGATGATGTTCTCATTTTCTGTGTTTGGTGTGCTTGGTTACAATGCAAGATAAGACATGTTATGTTGTACTTCATTCAACAAGCTCCAATTACAGTACTTTAAAAATCATCCGTTGATTATTAGTGTAATTACAGGAATATTTTACCAAGAAAAAACTTTTATTCCTACAATCCGGGGATCATGTAATGCTATACTCATGTATATCATGTAATGCTATTCAAATATAACTATCACAAAGCACAATTTTGCTTAGCCAGATAATGTGTCAGATTTAAGTAAGTCAGGACTCAATATAAGTGAATGAAGATAAAGTCCAGAGAGAAACGTAAGGCACGGTATCACTAGAGAGAGGCAAAGAGGTACAGCAGAGAAAGAAATAAGCTGGTCTTGTTAGCCAACCCCAGAGTCCTGGGGCCAAACGAGAGCCAGGAGCACAAGCAAAGTCATCAAGGTTAGGTGGTTATGAATTAGGTCCATAAGACATACAATGATTTTCTGTAGTATAGGGTATGTAATCATGCTCATTAAGTAACACTACTTCAGTTTTGGTGCAATTTGAATGAAACAGACCACAGGCCATCATGTTCAGTAACTGCTTCAATTTTCAGGTGTACAGCTTCATCCATATAATGTTTTTTTGTGAAATAGAAATAACATCCATCAAATTCCTTTTGAGATATCGTGTTCACAAGGTCCAGTGCCTTCTGCAGTCACCAGTCTCAAAATTTGGTCAATGTATTTGGTTAGCTCCAGATCTTCACCCACAAAAAGTTTGAAATTTGATCCGTCGACTACCAATGAGACAGAAACAAATGCAATTCCAACCAATCATACGGTAGAACAAGCAACTTATGGTGAACAAACACACTGCAAGGTTGGTTGATTGAGTTAGTGGAGCACATCACATGGTACTGTTTTGATAATATCATGGAAGAGATAAGCATTTGTCTAGTATTAGTTCAAAATGGGACACAGCATTTTATTTTTAAAAACGGATGGGCTGGTCACTTCCAGGCATGTCCAATCTGCCCACTAGAATGAGTGGTGAGGAAGTCAGGAAAAACCCAGCAACAAACAGTACTGTCGACATATTATTAGTTTTACGCCTTACAATTAAAAAGGTTATTTTTGTATTGTTATTTATTAAAATTAGATTTCAGTTTGCAGCCCTTTGAATTTCTTGTCTTTTTTTCATGTTCTGAATTTCTTTAAGGGGAATCCTAATGACATTTTAAGAAAAAATGAAGCCTTGAAGTAAAGAAGTAATGACATTATCTGTGCTACAAACCATCCTTTGGCCCTCAAAACAAGCTGCGGATTGCTAGTAATTTGATTTTCACTGTACACACTAGGGGTGTAAATCACACCTTTCCTCGTGATACGATACAATATCGATTCCTTAAGCCAATGGTTGGATTTTTTTTGATACCTCAGAAATTCCGACGATATGATACAATACGATACGATTCAGTTCGATACTGGGGATTGTATTCGAAATAATGAAATTTCACACAATCCTTTACACTTCAATGAATCAAAAAAGGCAAATATAATTAGCATTTTATCATATTTTATCGGGAACAATAAACAAAATCTAGTGTAGTCAAGTATGTCCCATACATAAAGCAAAATACAGTGAAATAAGGTAAAAATTTTGGATGGATGTAGATTAACATGGTGAAATTTTTTTTTAATTAAGTCTTCTCCAGACAAATACAAAAGTGTAACCAAAAGTATGTCCATAACTGTCATGACCTACTCGTATGACCCAGAACTGTGCGCTATGCCCCTCATTAACTTCGCGTGCAATCCCGAATGTTCCCAGCTGTTTCTTCCTAGTCCTGTGTATTTAAGTCCACGTCAGAGTCTGTCGTCCAGATCTGTCACTGAAGTTTTCCCCGTGTTGTGTGCTGTGCTTGCAATAAACCCCCCCACCATTTGTTGGATTTCCGCCTGCCTGACCCTGATTCCTCGTTCCCTGCTCGCTCGCCGTAGCTACGCTGGGATACAACAATAACAAATAAAATAAAGTGCAATAAAGTCAAATAAAAAACATTGCATGGACAGGCATGCAGAATGAGGAAGATCAACATGACTGACTTCTGCGGTGAAACAAGTATGTCAGTATTCTTCTTTGAGAAGTTTTTTTTAAAGAAAAATTAAATGGTCAACGTGTTCAGGAGATAGGACGCTATGCTCAGAGCACACAATGTCACCTGCCGTATTAAACACACGCTCTGAAGGTACACTAGCTTGCGAGCTACTTATAAATGATCAAGTCAAAATGATCTACCTACTATATAAATGCAAAACATATATTTATGTATAAAAAATATTGAGTATTCTTTAATATTATTTATTATTATTACTATTATTCATATTAATATCCCTTTGGGATGAATAAAGTATTTTTGAACTGAACTGGGATTTTAGTTCCTTCACCTTTCTATTTCTCAGCTTGCTTTTCGGAGGGAAGTTAATGTCGTAGTTTTTATGAACAGTCCGAAAATGCCGCTCCACATTTCCCTTCTTCGGAATAGCCTTGGTAGACTGACAGATGAGGCAAATGCACTTCGAATATGACATGGTGGAAAAAAGTGGTAGGTTTTTGGCTTCTTACTTGGTCCGGCTCCCCCATTCATTTTTATACCCTTTCTTAAGTTTAGTAGAAATAAATTGGAGGTTAACTAGGGGACTCGGTAGCTTGCAGCAGCTGGCGCGGTTGAACGCGTCATCTATCCTCTATTTTTTATGCCATACGATCTACCCAGACTACCTTTGCAATCGACCAGTAGATTGTGATTGCCGTATTGGGCACCCCTGGTGCAGACCATGTATACGTCGGAGTGGATCATGAAAACAATACTGGAACAGGCGAGAAAATAAAAACGCACTTATCGATATTTATGCGGTCATATCGATGCATCGGATCGTTTGCCGTTGAATCGATATATCGATACAAATCGATGTATTGTTACACCCCTATTACACACAGTAGGTAAAGCAGACACGCTCACCTTAATGGCAGGATGAGTCTTTGTGGTATCATTACTGTTCTCTCCTGGGATGCTTCCTGCTGATCTGCCCTCACACTTGTACCTGAATCTCATGCCTCTCTGCTTGGGCTGCTCAATGATCTCCAGAAAAGGGGGGCCTGTGGGCAGAGACAGAGGAGGCGGCGTGATGTCACAGGCCAGTTCAGGTCCCCTGCATTCTCCTACAAGTCTCCCGAAATATGGATGGTTTTGTTTATTTAAAAGAAAACAAGTCATGATTCTAATGACTCATTTGTCAATACTTAAGCCACAGAAAGTTCAATCATTTCACCATTCATTCCAACAATCTCAATTGTTAGAAATTCTTTGAAATTATAAATACAACAAGTTGCTGTGGACACAGGATTGTATCCCTGAGACAGCCCTATCACCCTCCCTCCCCCATCTAATCCCTACTCCTCCCCCACACCATCCAGCCTCTATCGCTAGCACCCCTACACTAAGTTTGAAAAGTATATAATTTTTCATACTAACATCCCATCCTTACATTATACTACTGTTTATGGTATTTAGACTATTTTCAAAAGCATTGCTACTCCAGTATTTTGGCGCGGGGGGGGGGAAATCCCTCATGATAAATTTTGCAGAGCGACAATACCAAGGTATAACGTAAATATTTCTGTAATACCACCCAAGCCTACCCAGCAGAGTATCCCCACCTCCCCAGTAAAATCTTTATTAAAAGCTGAATTTTGTGTGACTTGTCTCAGTGTAATCAGGTTCACCAGATAACCTCTATTCTTTCTTGTCCCAAAACTGACTAGGACTAGGGCTAAGCAACACAATTAAATTCCCCAACAATAAATTACACAGACCAGCTATTGGATTGCTACCGATAATTTTAGAATATCCATACTTTCACATTTCCTGTGCTCACAAGATGGCTCCTGCAGCCTCCCTTTCCATCCACTGTTGCCTAGTGCTACGGGTTTTGTCTCTGGTGTAAGTCGTCATCCATATAATATTTTTGCAAAGTGGTAATAAGATCCATCAAAGAACAAATAGACTAAACAGAGTAATAAAATCAAATAGTGTTATGCTGTTTACAAGATCAAGCACCTTCTGCGGTCACCCATCTCTTTGTTGCCACTAAGCGCTGTTGCTTCAGTTTTGGTGCAATTGGCTCAAAATTTGAGCACTTCCAGATAAACACTCATAGCATTTTTCAGCAAAGTTTGAAAAGGTAAAATAATAATAATAATCGATACTTTATTGATTCCCGTGGAGAAATTGTCTTCTTTACGCCTCCCTCAACTTGCCCTTTGTAGAGTAAGCTGTCCACGAAGGGCAGCCCCTTGCAGCGGTGCCCAGGGAGCTGGGGGTTAAGGGCCTTGCTCAAGGAGCCACAGATGTGCTGAGGCTGGGTTTGAACCAGTGACTTTTTGATTACAGGCACACAGACTTAGCCCACTGAGCCACACACTGCCCCCATACTTTTAGTTACAAGTGTCCTCTACAGAATCCCTTGACAAGGTCAAATGTCATTTGCTTTCGCCTTTCCCTTTGCTGCCACTAAGTGGTGTTGCTTCAATCACAGGGCAATTTGTATCAGAACCTACAATGCGTCTTCAAAGTCTGAAAAAAATCGGTCAATTACTTTTTAAGTTATCCCACTAACAAGAAAGTGTCTGTGGTGGCCAACTAGTCCAAAACTCCATATTCACTCCTGGAATACAATTACTAGCACATTCTGGAGAAATACCTCCACAAGCCTGAATGACAAACATTAAGTCTCAAAATTTTTTTTGGAATATTCCAGGTATCAAAAACTCAAACAATAGATCTCAGTACATGGTACAGACAGTACATGACTGATAAATGGCTTTCCTTACCTTGGCTCATGGTGGTCAGACCCCAGTTACACAGCACTGTTCAGAAAGAAGAGATGCACGTTAACCAAAATCACAAGGCAGTGATATTTACATTATAGCAGTAAGTCCTCAGTGCCATTTGTGTAGCACTGATTTATAAAAGCAGTGATTATCTGCAGTATAAATGTTCATGATGTTTTGGCTCCCAGAGCTACCACCTCCTTGCCCTTGCTCAGAAAATACATTATCATTAAATTGTTTTCCTGTTTTCAAATTAATTTTAGCTATAACTTTTTTTTTTTGCTGCGGTAAAGATAAGCATGGCATTTTAAAATGAGAATAGAAACAGTTTTTCTGAAAATAGGCTGGCTTCCACAGTTATAGGTAAATGCAGTTTCAGAGGGACACCTAACACCACTCCTGTTTACATATTGTGGAAGCTCCATTAACACGCTACAGCTCACAGCTCTGTGTAACCAGGGAAAAGGTGTTTAATCATTCAGTATCATTCTTCCCTTCAAGAAATTTAAAGAAATTCCTTTCACAGATGTATTTACTTCCTCACTTGCTTCATATATACTTGATGCAAAAACTTCAACAAAAAAAAACTTTTATTAAGTCAGGGTTAGTAATACAATAACCATTTTCCATAGAATAGATACTCCTGGTGCACTCTCTTACTCATCTATGCTATGTTTTTTAAATTACACCAGCACCCCACCTTCTGTAGAATTGTGTAAATCAGTATCTTAATGAAGCTACATTCCTGATCCTCACTACCCATTTGTATGCTGCTTTTCAGTCTAGCTGGCCTCCTTGTTAATCACCTTTGACTGGGCTGTAGTGAGGGGCAGCAGGGTGGCGCAGTGATTAGCACTGCTACCTCACACCTCTGGGACCAAGGTTTGAGTCTCCATCATGGTGCCCATGTGTGGAATGTGCCTATTGTTGTGGGGGTTCCTTCAGGTACTCCAGTTTCCCCCCACAGTCCAAAAATATGCTGAGGTTAACTGTAGTTGCCACATTACTCATAGGTGTGAATGCTGTGTGCGTGCGTGTGTGCGTCCTGCAATGGCTTGGTGCCCCATCCTGGGTTATACCCAGCCTTGCGCCCATAGGCTCCGGATCATCCACGACCCTGAACAGGATAAGCAGTTTCAGAGAATGGATGGATGGGCTGTAATGTCACATGATTTAAACTGTATCCAGTAGCATTTACCCTACCTGTAGGCTTAATTGAAATGGTTTAAAATGACTTTGATGTTGCCCCTTGAACTGAATACAGTATTGTTCATAATTTAAATTATTGCTCACCCAGAGGCTTTAAAAATCAACTAAAGGACTTAAAAATAAAATATTTTTATTCCACTTAAAATTTTACAAACAATCAAGTGCTGGGAATGCCAAAATACATGATTTACAGGCTGTGTTCAGCGATGTGACTGGAATCCTACTACATGCCAAATAAATATCACAATTATGCCCAAGTAATTAAGTAAGTAATTGGCTAACACTTCCAGGGCTAAGGGTGTGGATCTCCCACCCGCTCCATGTGTGCACGGTTTGCATGTTCTCCCCATGTTGTGTGGTTTTCCCTCACAAAGTCCCAACACGTACTAAGTGCCCTGCAGCGGACTGGCAACCCCTGCAGGATGTAGCCCCGCCTCCTTCCTGTGCGCCTGGGATGGGTTCCAGGCCCCTCGAGACCCTGACCAGGATAAACAGTTTGTAGATGGAGGGACAATACACGTCTTCATTGGACACCAGCACACAGTGCTCTGAGGGCCTGTGTCAAGAGATACTACCCACTTAATTTGACTGAATGCTACAAAACATCGAATATAACAGGTCACATCTGGGAACAACATTCTGGTGACTGAGTGTTGAATTTAGGAGCAGTCTGCCTGTGCCAGACATGTTTTAGAACAAATAACCAGGACAGATATAAGCAGTGAGCCGTTCTGAGGTGCTCCATGCAGTAGGTGCAGCATACTGTGGCAGACAGCACTTCCAGAGCGTGTCAGTGCCTGTCCCTGCGCTCTTTCTAAACTCTGTGTGAACCGGCTCTGTCTCGCACCGCCACCCCACCCCCCGCTTCCCGCAGTCTCCCGCCCCCTTTCCTTTGTGTCCCGATCACCTTCCTTCCTCTGAGGCACAGGTTGGACCCTGAAACCTCTCTCTGCTTCTGGTCCTTACATTTCACAGTCACCTGCCAACCTCCTGCTTAATTTTAGAAACTTGATGGGGAGTGAGCAACACTGCATTTTCACTGTACTCTCTCTTGTTGGTTTTCTGGGTGACACAGTGAACCCTGAATAGCACTGCAGTGACTGCACCTTGCAGCTCCAGTATAGATTTGAATCCTGCCTCCAGTTAATGTATAAGTGATGTATAATAAGTGATGGAGTAAGTTCTGATTATAAGATGACTCCCACTTCTTAGGCAACTATTTTTAGAAAAATATTAGCTATTCCAAAAACTTTATCTTTAGAAAGAAAAATAATTTTCTTTAGACATACAAGAACGTATAAGAAGTTTACCATCTCCCTGTTAAAAAGTATTACCTTAACAACTGCATTACAATAAGTGCAGCAAACTCAGAGGAGAAGACACACTTGCCATAATATTTCCTGGCCAATCTGAAAACTTTTAAATTCTGAGAAATATTCTGGGAATAACGTCAACTTTTTTTCCCTGAAAGCGATGAGAAACATGGCAAAAGTAAAGCAGCACTATATGTTTATATAAGATGCATTGATCAGTACATTAGGATCTTTCCACACAGAGTGCTGCTTTTACTCTCAAGCCTTTGTAACAGTGTGACCAACAATGACACACTCTAATTTTCTCACCACATTAGCGCATTTGCTCCAGTTTCCTGAAGTGGAAAAACACGCAAAACAAATAAGCGAAGCCTTTCCAGCACACTAAGAAATGGAGAGTTTCAGATGTGCATCCAAAAGGTCAAACCGCCACTGTTTCTGTGTCGAGGGCTTCCATGAAAAGGAAGACAGCCAACAGCTGTATGAATTAAATAAATACTTTGCACTCATTTAACCTGTTGACTTGGTAGTAACCCGGCAAAACTCAATTGCCTTTGATTTCCAAATATAAATATATGCAACCATGTGATCATGTTTCTGAATGACAAAGGTGCTCTCAGGTCAAGCCGTCAGAACAATTTAATCAATGCTTGCTTCACCAAATCAAACTGAAACAATGTTCACACACACAGAGACACACACACACACAAAGGCAGAGTAAGCTCTTCACTTAAGATGAGATACACAAGCTTCATTTAAAAATGTCACAGTAAATTTAGTAATGTGGTTTATTCTTTATACATTATACATGTGCTGTTATAAAAATGTAAATTAATAAGACAAGCAAAAGTTGATGATATGCTGTTATTACTTAATATGATTACATACATGAATGTAAAAGTATTTAGAACCAGAGTGAATTTCAGACAATCATTTTTTCTTCTTACTTGACATTTTATTTACAACCCTGATTCCAAAAAAGTTGGGACACAGGGTAAATTGTTAACAACGGAATGCAATGACATAGAAATCTCATAAACTGATATTTTATTCACAATAGAACATATAAAACATGTAAAAAATTTTAAAATGAGACATGTTGCTATTTAGTGAAAAATATTGGCTCATTTTCAATTTCCTGACAGCAACACATCTCAAAAAAGTTGGGACGGGGGCAATAGGAGGCTGGAAAAGTTAGTTGTACAGAAACCCAACAGCTGGAGGAACAATTTGCAAATAATTAGGTCAACTGGCAACAGGTCAGTAACATGACTGGGTATAAAAAGAGCATCTTAGAGTTGCAGTGTCTTTCAGAAGTAAAGATGGACAGAGGATCACCAATCCCCCTAAAACTGCAAATAGTGGAGCAATTTCAGAAAAAAACTTCCTCGGTGTAAAATTGCAAAGAGGTCAAAAATATCATCATCTACAGTACATAATATAATCAAAAGATTCAGAGAATCTGGAGAAACCTTTGTGTGTAACAGACAAGTATTCTGGATGCCCATGATCTTCAGGCCCTTAGGCAGCACTGCCTCACAAATAGGCATGATTCTTCAATGGAAATCATTAAATGGGCTAAGGAATATTTCCAGAAAATGTTATCAGTGAACAATTTGCCGTTCCATTCAAAGATGCCAGTTAAAACTCTATCATTCAAAGAAGAAGCTGTATTTGAACATTATCCAGAAGCGCTGACGTCTTGTCTGGGCCAAAGCTCATTTAAAATGGACTGTGGCTACGTGGAAAACTGTTCTGTGGTCAAACAAATCTAAATTTGAAATTCTTTTTGGAAACCAGGGGTGCCGTATCATCCAGACTAAAGAGGAGAAGGACCACCCAGCGTGTTGTCGGCAATCAGTTCAAAAGCCAGCATCTCTGATGTATGGGGGTGCATTAGTACATATGGCATGGGCAACTTGCATATCTGGAAAGGCACCATCAATGCTGAAAGGTATATCCAGGTTCTAGAGAAACATATGCTGCCATCCAGACGACATCTCTTTCAGGGAAGACCTTCCATTTTCCAACATGACAATGCCAAACCACACACAGCATCAATTACAACATAATGGATTTGTAGAAGAAGGGTACAGGTACTGAACTAGCCTGCCAGTGGTCCAAATCTTTCACTCACTGAGAACATTTGGCGCATCATAAAATGAAAATTACAACACAGAAGACCTAGGACAGTTGAGCAATTAGAATCCTGTATCTGAAAAGAATGGGACAACATTTCTCTCACAAAACTCGAGCAACTTATCTCCTCAGTCCCCAGACATTTACAGACTGTTGTTAAAAAAAGAGGGGATGCCGCCCAGTGGTAAACATGGCCCTGTCTCAACTTTTTTGAGACGTGTTGCTGGCATGACATTCAAAATTACCTTATCTTTTCCTTAAAATTATACATTTTCTCAGATTAAACATTTGATTAGTTTTCTATGTTTTGTTATGAATAAAATATGGGTTTATGAGATTTCCATATCATTGCATTCTGTTTTTATTTACAATTTGCACAACATCCCAACTTTTTTGGAATTGGAGTTGTATTTAGCAGAGGGTTTCACCGAAACCCACATACACGACATCCTAACTCACTGAGCCACACGTGTACAAGCTCTGGTGCACAAATAACATCCACGAATTAACCACTGCAGCCATTACTATATTATCTTAAAAAAACTGTAATCTAATTTTCCATACCATAGATAACATTTCTTAAAATATGAAAGTGAACCAAGATGTGTAACATAATATCCATCCATTCATTTTCTATACCTGCTTGTACTATGCAGGGCTGCACCATTTCCATTAATGACCCATTATTCAGATAACATGTGGCAGAGTGGGTGGGGCACTTGAGGAGGGTCATTACACCCAGCACTCAGCGCGCCGCAATATGAAGACCACAGTGTGATCACAGATGCGTGACCCAGAAGTTCCATCAGGTCACCATATGTGATTTCTACAGAGACACTGAATGCTGGAGATAGGCTCACAGGCTTCAAGTATAAAGGCCACTTTTCTTACTTTCCCAGGAGCACACAGGGTGAGTAATGATATTTTCATCTCCTGGGGTGTGTGCCAGACAGTGCATGTGTAGCCCAGATTTTTATGTTGGTGCGCGTTGACTGCGCATGTGCAAGGAAATTTACCAGGTGTTTAAAGTAAGTGGCAGCACTGACTTTCATGGAGCAGAAGTCAACAAAGAAACAATAGAAGAAATATATTTTGTTGGTATGGAGGTACCCACATATCTAATTTTTCATACTGGCAGTACGACTCTGCCATTTTAAAATCTTGACTATAAAAATCATCAAGAGGACTGGTTGGGTGGGTAATTTTGTTGCAAAGATTTGAAAATGTTGCTGTGTACCATCTGTGTCTATGGACAAATGTAGTGTACACAAGAGTCCGCACTCACAACCGTCCAGAGCCCGAAAGCGCAGACGTAAGAGCATGACCTAGGCTTAGGTGCGTATATTATTGATATGAATCAATCAGTGTGACTTGTACTCAATGACTGGTCTTCAAAACCATCAGACTTGATTAGTTTGTGAGTAGTATGAGGTGTCTCTACAGTCTACACTACTCCATATAGACTGACAGGCCTTTTTATTAGTGTTCCTGGCCATCTCCATGTCCATATCATTCGCATACTAGCTTCACCATCACAGGTATCAGCAGTAATTGTGAATGAGCTTCAGTCACCCGTTTGAGCCAGTACATTACTGCAGCAGCTATATGTGATTAACGCAACGTCACAGTGACTGGATTCGGCTGTCCGAACTGGTTTCTAAAGAATTAAACGCAAAATCCAAGGGTAACCGCCGTAACAAGTGTTTTAAAAAAAAACAACGACTGAAACATCTTCAGCACAAACTATCTAAATCTGACCAACCAGTTGCAAGTGATGTGTGCTATATACAAACACCAAAACAGAAAACGAAACCGGCCGATAAAGCCCCCGATCGCAGGTGTCAATTTCGGGGCGGCAGAACGATCACAATAATATACGCGCCATAACAGAAACTACAACCAGGAAAAGTAGCTCAAAATACTTTCGGTAACAATCAGACAACTGATATCCCTGACAGTCTTTCATTGGTGGCTCCTCCTGCTGTATTAGCGCTGTGAAAAGGGGGTTTTCCCCGACACGAAAACAAACACCGAGACTTTTATGGGGGAAAACTACGTTCTTGCAGTACGTGTAAACTTACCATCCATTTTTTCTGTATCCGAAATCCGCCAGACGTATTCACTGAGCCGTGTAACCTTGAAAGCTTCCGGCCTTGTAAAAGCAAATAAGTTGATTTATAACAATTGTAATTTCTTTCCGACTGAAGCGTTTACGTGCCGCAACAGCTCAGCGCAACACGGCGGTGTCGCTTTCCCATGCTTTTCGCTTGGCCGTCCCACCCCTCCAAAAAAGCACGGAAATACCCTAATGACGCAAAAGCGAGGAGAAGCGTGTAGGCTTTTAACAGAAGCGCAAGAAACTGCGCCGCACCGGCCTGCTAATGACTGTAGGACATTCTACAGTTGAATCGTACGTTTAGATGTTTATTTTGTTCAATTTTAAAAAAAAATGTGACTCAAGCAACAGGTGGATCGACAGCATACGTGGCAATTTAATAACAGTATATATAAAAATATATATCATGCTGATATGCTAGTAGTTCAAAAGTGGTTCTATTAATAGACTAGTAGCAGCAGTACTGATGTTTATACTTGAAACCAGTGGAAGCGTAGCAGTAATGTAATCATTTTCGTATGAATAATTGTTGAAGTGATACCTGAAAGTAGTAATGAAGTCGGAGGTTATGGTGGTACAGGAACGAGCTCTGAATTGTTAATTTCTCCTGTTCTGCAGCTGGAAACGTGTAGGAATGTTAGTCATATCACCGATGCAAACGGCCCTTCCACACCTAGGAGAATCTTGCAACACTTCTGAAATGATAACGAAGGATCATAAACTCCTTAGTACTTTTTGTTATATTTGACTGCTTACTGCCTCAGCTGTGAGTATTATGAGTAAGAGGATATATGATGCCTGTTATTTAACTCCATTTGTTCTAATTGTTACAGTGTCCAATTCAAATAGGCTAAATACACTGATCTTAGGCTTAGCAGCATTAGCCAGGTTAACGGACCAGATTTAGGTACAGATAATAGGGACGTGACCCCACCGATATTGTGAGAGTACCCTGTGTGTATAGGGGGGCGGGGTTTCGGGGCTGATTTAGTCTATACCAGTGTCAAAACCAAACCTACGCCCTTGGTTATCAATAATACTTACCACATAAGTTGGAAAAAGAGTTGGTGTGAAACAGCCATGGGAGATACAGCTGAGGAAAGTCATAAATAGAGTGTATGGCAGATCATTCAATCAAACGACTAGATAAATAAGTTTTCTTCCTCTTTCCTAGATGCTTTAACACTGTGTTGATACTACAGCAAAGGGATAAGTTACTTTCAAGAGGAAGTAAATCAAACCTTTTTTTGGGAAATTATACCCTAGCACTGTTTGAAAACTGTTGTTTTCAAATCTGATTGGTCACAAGGGTGTTGATTAATTTTCTATAACCTGACACCTAATACCAGCCAGGCGAATCACAGTGTAAATCAATGTGTGATTAAATTCTTTAAATATAACTAATGTTACTTTAAATTTCAGATGTAAAACACAATTTGAAAATAAAATATAAAACCAATGAAATTGCTACAAATCACATAAGTAATTTATTTATAAAGCGCTTATCTCAGACAAAAAGTCACAAAGCGCTATACAGTAGTAAAACAGGGGAAAGAATACAAAACTAGAGAGACAAAGTATAAAACAGTACATAAACGGCAAACAAAATTCATAAAACCTGCTGTAAAAACAAAACACATAGATAAAACAAAGATTACTCAGCTCTGAGTAAAAGCCTGACTAAAAAGAAAGGTTTTGAGCTGTTTTTTAAAAGAGTCCACTGAAACAGTCAAGGCTTAGAGACTGATCCGGTGTAACCCCAAGATTATGGAGCCTCGACTTAGAGGCAGGAGAGACAGAAGAAAGCTTTTATTAATCAGTAAAAAGTAAATAACTCTGGGTTTACCCATTACACAGCTGAATACCAAGAGGTACATTAGGTCAGGTCAGGTTGGGGAGCATGCACTGGTGCAGTGTGCTGCCACACCCAAGCCGACACGCGGTCCAGTCCAAGCCTCCAGAAATGCCGCAGCCAGGTGTTACATGGGTGTCCCCTTGGCCTGGTCCAGCCGCTTGGGTCCTCAGCAGTGAGAATCCTGTGAGCCGGATCACCCTCAGGGAAGTGTGCCACATGGCCGTAGTGCCGTAAGTGACACTCCCTCACAATGCAATGTTCTTAATAATAATAATAATATACTTTAATAAAACTCGCAAGCCCAGACACTCAGACTCCTCGCTTGGTCTCTTGAGAGCCCCAATCATAGCCTCCACTGACTCCGCAAAGATCACAGCATCATTGGCAAAGTCAAGATCAGTGAATTTTTCTTCATCAACAGATGCCCCACAGCCTCCAGACCCCACAACAACTGCCTAACAACTAGTCCATGCAAGCACTGAACAGAGTAGGAGCCAGAACACACCCCTAACAAACCCCAGAATCAACTGGGAAGAACACAGAGGTTCTGCCTCCACTCTGCACAGCACTCACAGTACCAATATACAGCCATGACGTTCAGCAACTTCAGGGGGATCCCGCGAAGACTCAAGATGTCCCACAGGGCAGCTTGATCAACTGAGTCGAACGCTTTGAAGGCTGTGAAGAAACTTGATATTCGCATTTGCCAACCATGACAACCCTCAGTGCGAGGATGCAGTCAATGGTAGACTTCTTAGGCGTAAAAACAGAATGCAGACCCTAATGAGGATGTCCCAAGCAAGGACCTCACCTGACACTAAGAGCAATTTTATGCCCCTGTAACTGCTGTAATATAAGCAATCACCCTTTCCAGATAGGGACATCAAATCCCATTTCCCAGTCAGTTTGGATGATGCCTGTCTCCCAAATGGAAGCAAAGATTGCTTGCAATGCCAGGAGGACTGCCTTAGCACCAGCCTGGATACCACAGATCCCTGCAGCTTTCCCTACCCTCAGTTGGTTCACCATCTGTGCAATCACAGTGCGAATGGGTGGTTCACAGCTAATCAGAGGATCAGCCTCAAGAACTGTGGAACCAGAGATATCTAACATCCTAGTCAAAGGATCAGCTTTAAACAGTTGTTCAAAGTAGCCGGCCCAGCAGGTCACAGCTGCAGTGCCATTCGTAAGGACCATTCCATCACCTCCCCTGACTGTGATTCTCCAAGGAACAGATTTGTATGTGTGTAATGCTTCAGTTCCTCTGTAAGCAGGACATGGCTTGCTAAACCATAGTTTAAAAAAATCCCTCTAACAAACACCTCCTTATCTGCCTTCAGTGTCCTTGCAGCCGTATTTCTCAGTTTCTGGTACAGACCAGAGTTGCCATAAAGCTGCGCGCTGCGACTCCTCTAGATAATATCAGGGTGTCCTGCAAGATGAAAAACCTCCTTCTGGGATCACTGGCAACACCAACCCAACCCTCAACAACCTTCAGAGTCTTGCCACGGAAGGTCTTCCACATCACATTAGAATCAGCAGTCACACCCAAGTCTGCAAGGTCCTCACACAAACTGCATGCAAACACATTAGAAACAGCCTGATCTTGGAGTCTGGCCAGGTCCAGCCTCATTCTCCCAGTAGGTGGTAACCTACTGAACCTAAGTTGAATCTTCAGAGTAGCAAGAACAAGTCTGTGGTCAGAATTCACAAACTGGGCACTTCTGTAGGTCCTACAGTTCAGTAAGAACCTCCAGCATCTGGTCACAAGGATGTGATTGATGTCCTTCTCCACACCACCAGCATTGGAGTACCAAGTCCAATGATGTGGCTCAGGGCACTGGAACCAGGATCCAGCGACCCACAAGCCCTTGCAAAGTCAAGGAACATGTAACCACTTTCACACGGTCGCCAAACCTGTGGGTACCGACACAATCCACATAGCCAGTCCTGTCAGTGCCAGTTGTCGCACTGAAGTCACACATGACCAGAGGAATGTCATCTTTTGGGTACCCATCAACCACCAAGCAAAGATGCAAATAAAATGTCTCCCTCATCGAGACGTCATTCACCGCAGTCAAAGAATACACTGAGACAACAGACAAGACACCCAAAGAGTGCCTTAGCCTGAGTCTCATAATACATTAATTGAAAGGAGTGACATCAGACACCTTCGGAAGGAGCCGATCCACTACAGCAACAGCTACTCCCTGAGTATGGCAACCATCAGAGCAACCAGACCAATAATAGGTATACCCACCTACAGAGATATGGCCACTTCCTATACTACGTACCTCAGAGAGTACCACCACTGAAATGTGGTGTTTATGAGGCTCCTCCACTAGCACAGGAACATGGTCACCATGCTGGAGAGACGAGACATTCCATGCACCTACCCGGATGGGCCACCTCAGATTAGGCCATGAGTGCTGCCGTACAGCGGGCGATACCTCAGCACCACACCAGTTCCGGTCCCCAACAGGCATGACCCCATTGGCTCTCTGGCAGTTTCAACTCTTCTGAGGATCAGGCTTCATAGGGCTTTCCCCCATCCCCTTCGTGATGCGTGCAACCTTCCTGTGGGCGGCTGCAGCAGAGCTAATCCTGCAGAAAGCAGAAAAGAGTCCTGCCTGCTTCGTCTGAGCTGTGTGAAGGTTTTACAAGAAGCCTTCCACAAACTTCTTACAATAAGTTTTTGCCCCATTTTCCCTGATAGAACTGGTGTAAACAAGTCAGGTCTGCAGGTCTTCTTGCTTGCACATACCTAAAGTCTTTAAGGACCAATGTGTGCTGACTGTAGTATAAGCCGTAAGGATGGACTCTGAGCCTGTTCTGCAGCGACGCTGCCTCATCAGGCATCCCTCTCCAGATCTCAGATCTGTTCACCTGTTTCTAGTTTCCTTTGATTGACCAGCTTAGATAACCAGTTTAGCCAGTTCCCTCGAGGGGTTTTACTATGTATGTCTATAAGTGGTCTGGATCCCTGCTTTTTCCTGCATGCCTGCTGCCCCTTTTAAGTGGTTTAATGTGTCTACTTTCTGTTCCTTGCCCAGTGAATTTGAGTCCCAATTCCCGTGCCAGTATGAATTTGTGTGTGTGTGTCAGATATACATTGCATTGTTGGGACATTTTGCAAGCCATGCATTATCAGTTAACACATTCTGCTATGCATTGGGCAGTTCTTCAGCTCTACAGGCATGCATTCAGCCATCAATGCATGGATGGTCATGCATTGACCCTCACTTACACCAGTATCCACAATATATTTTATTTTTTAAATCAAATGTCTCTGTTGTGAAAGGCCTGAGGTAAGTTCTCTGCAAAATCCATACTACTGTTTACAGTTTTTCATAGTTCCTTTGGCACATTTCACAAAACATGCTTAACATTCT